ACTACCTGAGCTCACTCAGGTGAGTGAAAGATCCCCATCTTTCTTTCCCATCTCCACATACACCTTCTGTACGCCTCTTCCCCACTTGTGGCCTGAGCCTCATGCAGTCTTCAGCCCTCCGTGTGGTGGCTAGTGACCAAGCCGACCCTGGACATTCGTGTCCGAGCACACATCCTGTGTCTTATCTCATAGTACAGATTTGGGGATACAGGTAGAGAAGCATCAGGAGCTCAGCTCCTCAATAAGACAGGTTTGCTATGGAATTTCCAACCTGCAGTGAGTGTGTGAGCTCTCAGAGTCTCCTTCTCTAAAAAAGTGATGATACCTCCCTCAAAAGATAGTTCATCCATGCATGCATTTATCTTTTCAGTAGTTATTTATAGAAAGACTGCTTATATGTTAGGTGCCAGAACATAACAGTGAACAAAATGTGCATGATACTTACATTCCAGTTAGGAGAGAGAGACAAAAAACAAAAATAGAATATATGGAAATAAACCAGGCACGGTGGCTCACACCTGTAATCCCAGAGGCTCCGGAGGCTAGAGCAGGAAGATCTGAATTCAAAGCCAGCCTCAGTAAATTATCAAGGTCCTAAGAAGTTCAGTGAGACCCTGTGTCTAACTAAAATACAAAAAATGGCTGGGGATGTGGCTCAGTGGTTAAGTGCCCTTGAGTTCAATCCCAGGTGCCAAAATATACATACACACACACACACACACAAATACCAGCAATTCCCCTCTTGGGTATAGGCCCAACAGAAATGTTCATGTGTGTACCAAAAGACACATAATGCTTAGAACCACACTATTTGCTAAGGCCCAAACTCTAGCTGAACTGCTCATCAGGAGCTAAATGAGATAGATAGGTTGTGGTATATTCACACCATGGAATATTGCATTTTGTTGAAGAATAATGAACTACACTATGCTTAGCAAGATGGAAGAATCTCACAAACATACTGAGTGTAAGGGAACAGAAACACTGTATGAATGGTTTATTTTGTTTAAGAGGTGGGGTCTTGCTACATTGCCCAGGGTTGACCCCAAACTCCTGGGCTCAAATGAACCTCCTGGCTCAGCCTCCCTAGTAGCTGAGATGACAGCTGCCTTCCATTGTATCCAGCCTTACAAGAAAAACTCATTACCTTGTTTAAATGGAGAAAGTGGTTACCTTTGGAGATGAATGCAATATGACTGGAAGGGGACACAAGGAGCTCATGGGGGGCTGGTAATGCTCTATTTCTTTATCTCGATGCTGATCACATAGGTATGTTTACCTTGTGAAAACAGATCAAGGTCTATACTTGTGATTTATTCATTTTCTTATGCAAGTTACATGCTGTTAAAATTTAATCCCATTAAATGTATGGGATTATTAAAATATGTGGGAATACTAAAGGAGAAAAAAGAGGAACAGAAGATATATTTAAAGCAATGATGAGTGAGAATTTTCCCCAAAATAATGTCAGATGCCAAACCACAAATCTATGAAACTCACAGAACACCAAGCTGGATGAATGCAAAAAAAAAAAAAATGTATCTAGGTGTTCACATTAAATTTGTCGAAAATCAAATATAAGAAAAAAAATTGAAATAAGCCAGGGGCAGGGAGCCCTTATCTATAGAGGAGCAAGGATATGAATCACATTAGAATTGTCTTCAGAAATCATGCAAGCCAGATAGTGGAATGAAATATTTGAAGTGCTGATAGGAAAAAACCCCACCAACCTAGAGTTCTTGTATTCATTGAAATTAGCCTTAAAAAGTGAAATGCAATAAAGACTTTCTCAGGCAAATAAAGTTGAGGGAACTTGTCACAAGTAGACCTGTCCTGAAAAAAAAAAATTTTAAAAGAATTTTTTCCAGGGGCTGGGGTTGTGGCTTAGTGGTAGAGTGCTCGCCTAGCATGCATGAGGCACTGGGTTCAATCTTCAGCACCACATAAAATATAAAATAAAGATATTGTGTCCACCTAAAAACTAAAAAAATAAATATTAAAAAATATATTTAAAAATATTTTTTTCAGAGAAAAAGGAAAATCATATAGACCATAGACTCAAATCTACATAAAGGAAAAAAGAACATTAAGGAATACATGAAGGTAAAATAAACTTTTTGTTGTTAACTAATCTAATAATTTATTGAAATTAAAGCATATAGGCTATATAGTTATAGATTATGGGTAAGCAAACTAAATGGCAACAATGATACAGGCATGTAAGGGCAGAATTAAGAATATTTTGTGGGGCTGGAGTTGTGGCTCAGTGGTAGAGTGCTTGCCTGGTATGTGTGAAGCACTGGCCTCAAGCCTCAGCACCACATAAAAATAAATAAAATAAAGGTCCATTAACAACTAAAAAATATTTTCAAAAAAGAATACTTTGTAATAAGGTACTCACATTATCTGTAAAACAGTAAAATGTTAGTCAGAAGTAGATTAATTTTAAATGCATTAGTTTTTAATTTTTTTTAGTTGTAGATGGACACAATGCCTTTATTTTATTTATTTTTATGTGATGCTAAGGATTGAACCCAGTGCCTCACACATGTCAGGCAAGTGCTCTACCACTGAGCCACAACTCCAGCCCTAAATGCAATAGTTTTAAATGTACATTGAAAAGTCTAAGGTAACCACCAGACAATTTTTTGAAATATGTAAATAATATGCTAAGAAAGGATAGAAATGGCACCATAAAATACTAGTAACACCAGATAGTCACTTGAATCCACAGAAAAATGAAGAGAAATAAAAATAGTAAATAAGAAGGTTAATGTAACAAACTATAATTTAAGCTTAGCTCTCCTCTCAGCTTCTTTAGACCATTTAAAAGATATATCACTGAAATTAAATTAGTATAAATCTGAAGTTGTTCATGATAAATATTATATATGTATGTATATGTGTGTGTATACACACACACACACACACACACACACACACATAAAGCTCTAGAGCAACCACTAATAAAAATAACTAAAAAATACAGTAAAATAACCATGGAAGAATTCAAAGGTTAAACTAGACAATATTAACTAAATGAAAAACGAATAGCAGAGCAAAAAAGACATGACATTACAGAAAACAAAAAGCAAAATAGAAGACTTAAATTGAATAGTATTAATAATAATATTAACTGTAAGTGGATTAAACAGTTGTATTAGTATATAGGGATTGTATTATTAAATGGAAGTTTGTGTCCCTTTAAAATTCATAAAATTAAACCCTAATCTCCAATTTTATAGTATATGGACATGAGGCTTCAGAGAGGTAATTAGAGTTTGATGAGGTCATAAGGGTAGAGCTGTCATGGCAAGATTGGTGCCCTTCTCAAAAGAACCTGCTCCCTACCCTCAGATTATTCTATGAGGCCAGGATCACCCTGATACTATAACCAATTAATAAATGAATGAATAAAAGATTCTTCTAAAAACAAAAAACTACAAGCTTGGTTTAATATCCCAAAATGTGTGCGTGTGTGTGTGTGTGTGTGTGTGCGCACACATGCATGCACACATGTACACCTATCTGATAAAGGACAACTGAGATGCACAAGCATCACAATAGAGCCAGAAAAAACATTTGACAAAATCCAATACTCTTTCATAATAAAACACACTCCACAAATTAGGAACTTCTCTAACTTGATAAAAAGCATCTATGAGGGGCTGGGGATGTGGCTCAAGCGGTAGCGCGCTCGCCTGGCATGCGTGCGGCCTGGGTTCAATCCTCAGCACCACATATAAACAAAGATGTTGTGTCCACCGAAAACTAAAAAAAGTAAATATTAAAATTCTTTCTCTCTCTCTCTCTCAAAAAAAAAAAAAGTACATTGTGTTTTTGTTTTTTTTTTTAAAAAAAGCATCTATGAAAAACCTACTGCTAACATCATGCCTAACAGTGACCAAATGCTTCCCAACTAAGATCAGGAAAAAGACAAGGATGTCTATTCTCATTACTTCTGTTTAACATTGTATAGCAGGGAATTAGATCATAAAAAGAAAGAAAAGGTTTGGATCCAGACTAAACAGAAAGAAGTAAAACAAACACTACTTTTGGATGATATGATTTTGTACATAGAAAATCTTAAGGATAGAATACACACACAAACTACTATTAGAAGAATAAAGAAGATGGGAAAGTTGCAAAGCATAAGATCAATATATTTTAAAAGTTTGAGCCAGGTGTAGTATACGCTGTGATCCCAGTGACTCAGGAAGCTAAGGCAAGAGGAACACAAGTTCAAAGACAGCCTCAGCAATTTAATAAGGCCCTAAGCAATTTAGCAAGATCCTGTTTGAAAAAAAGGGTGGGGGCTGGGTATGTTGCTCAGTGTTTAAGCACCTTGGGTTCAACCCCTGGTACCAAAAGAAAAAAAAAAGTCAATTTGATTTCTGTACATTACCAGAGAATAATCTGAAAATGAAATTTTTAAAAATTCCATTTACAACAGCATAAAAATAAATAAAATATTTAGAAGTAAATGTAATAAAAATGCAAATTCTGTACATTGAAAATTAGAAAACCTTGCTAAAATTAAGTGGAACATTATATATATTTTTTCCATAACTAAAGGGAAAGACACTCTGTGTTCATGCATTGGAAGACTTAAATTGTTTTAAGCGAAACTTCTTGATATATGGATTCAGCAGAATCACTGTTCAATTTTCAGTTGCCTATTTGCAGAAATTGACAAATGTGTTCCTAAAATTCCTTTGGAGATGCAAGATGAAAATCCCTGAATCAAATGGCCAAAACAATCTTGAAAAAGAAGAGCAAAGTTGGAGACTCAGACTATGTGATTTAAAAATTTAGCTACATTCCTCTAGACAGTGTGGTACTGGCATTTGGACAGATGTATAGGTCAGTGAACTAGATCCAAGAGTTTAGGAATGATTAATTGGTTTTCAACAGAAGTGCCAGTTCAGTAGGGAAAAGAATATTCTTTTCAGCAAACTGTGCTGGGATAGCTGGAAGAGAACCATGCAGAAGAATGAAATTAGATCCCCATGTCTATCAATATACAACAGTAAGTGGAGGGCTGGGGCTGTAGCTCAATAGTAAAGCACTTGCCTAGCATGTGCAAGCCTATGAATTTGATTCCCCAGCGCCACAAACAAAATGAAACAAACAATTAAACAAACAAACAAACAAAAAACTACTTTGAGATAGATCATAGACCTGAATATAAGAGCTAAAAATGGAAAACCCAGAGGAGAGAAAATCTTCACAAGCTTGGGTTAGGGAATGGTTTCTTAAATTTGCAACAAAATCACAAGGACAAAAGAAAATATATAGAAATTGAACTTGATCAAAATTGAAAACTTTTGCACCTCAAAGGACATCATCGTAAAGTAAAACGACAACCCACAGAATGGGGAAAATATTTGTATATCATATATCGGAAAAGAGATTTGCACTTAGAATATATATAAAGAACTCAATGAAAAGACAAATAAAATAGGTAAAGGATTTGAACAGATATTTTTCCAAAAACGTTTTATAAATGGTCAATAAATACATGAAAAAATGCTGAACACCATTAGTCACCTGGGAAATGAAAAATTTAAAACCAAAATGAGATACTATTTTACACAGTGTTGGTGAGTGTATAGAGAATTGAAAACCTGATACATTGCTGATGGGAATTTAAAATGGTGCAACTACTGTAGAAAACAACTTGGAAGTTCTTCAAAATGTTATAAACATTAAAGTTATGAAATGATGCAAAAATTCTAGGTATACATACCCGAGGGAAATAAAAACATATGTTCAAGTGCTGGGAATGTGGTTCAGTGGTGGAGAACTCATTTAGCATGTATAGAGCGCTGGGTTTGATCTCCAGTGCCTGAAAACAAAATGAAGTTGGCATGTATAACCAGTATATATAAAATACCAGATGATGATAAGTAATATGGAGAACTATACAGTCGAGAGGGGAAATAAGAAAAACTGGAGCTAAGTTTTGAAATTTTAAATAGGGTCGTGTTAGGGCTCACTGAGAAGGTATCTTGTGAACAAAATCTTTCTAAAGGAGGTGAGGGAGCAAGCAAGTGAGGTATCAAGGAGAAGAGCTTCTGGGCTGCTTAAGTTTGAAGCTGGACTTCTTCATGGCCCACATGTGTGACCTTGGAAAAGTTATTTATTGGCCTTGTGCCTCACTTTCTTTATTTGTAAAATAAAGATAATAAATACTACCTATTTTGAAAGATTATTGTGTGGCTTAAGTGATTAAAAAAGAAAATAAAGCACTTAGAATATTACACTGGCAGTAAGAAAATGCTTTATAGTTATTTTCATTAGTTTCTGCTGCAAGCACACAGCCTTTGCATGCTAAGATAGAAGCATGCCTGGAATGTTCAAGGAGGCCTGGTGGGGCTGGTGAAGAACCAAGAATAAAAACAATAGGAGGTGGAGGGAGGGTTTGTGGTTTTTACTCTGTGAGATGAAAAATCAATGGAGGATTTGGAGGAGAGAAAAGATCTGATTCATATTTCAACACCATCACTCTGGCTCCTGTGTTGAAAATATAGTCATCCCTCTGTATCTGTGGGTGATTGGTTCTGTATAAAAATCTTTGGATGTTTGAGTCTCATATAAAACAGCATAGTATTTGCATATAGCCTGCACACCCATGTACTTTAAATCATCTCTAGATACCTAGTCCAAAGCAAATGCTATGTAAAGAATTGTTATACTATACTTTTTAGGGAATAATGACAGAAAATGTTTGTATATGTTCAGTATAGATGCGAATTTTTTTCCCAAATGCTTTTGATTTGCTGGTGGTTGAATCAACGATGCAGAATCCACAAATATGGAGGCCTGACTGTATATTAAAAGAGGTCAAGGATGCAATCAAGGACATTAATTAGTTCTGAGATGTTGTAATAATGAACATGAAAGATGTTGATGGTAAGTGATCATATTCTGGTTCTTAAATTTGAAGATAGGTCCAGTAGACTGGATATTGGGTGTGAGAAAGAGACTGCAGTTTAATCTGAGCAATTGTCTAGTTGTTGAGATGAGTCAAAGGAGCCTTTTTTATTTTTATTTTATTTTATCTGTTTTTTTTAGGGGCTTAAGATTAAGAGTCGAGGAGGCAAGTGGAGAGGGGATGAAGATTTACATTTTTGATTGTGCTAAACTCCAAATGTTTGTTACACAACCAAGTAATCTGATGCTCAGGGGAGAGGAGAGTTTCGGACCAGAAAAAGAACAAATCATTGGTTCTTTCACAAATATTTATTGATATCCCACCCTGTGCCAAGTTTTATTGTTAGGTTCTGGAAATAAACGCAGGAATACTGACTCTTGTAAGCTCATCTCCTAATGGTAAAACAGGTCATAAACAAGTTAGCAATCAAGCGAGATAACGTATATAAGGTCTTTAGCTCTCCAGGTGGAACAATGTACAAATGCTATTGTTGTTTTCAATATTCGGGATATTATAAGTCTCAGAAGATAAGTGAGCCTTGCGACCTAGGAGCGCCTCCTCCCAGCGGTCCCCAGCCAGGTATCCTTCCTCAGAGATAACCGATTCTTTAGCACAGGGGATTGGCACCATTGCGCAGGCGCGGCCTCAGTCTGGCGTCCTAGGAGATGGACTTGAAACGCCTCCGCGCATGCGTAGTTCAAGAGGCCAAGGGAGCCCGAAACCTGGGATTGGGCGGGGCGAACTTGGAGTGCGTTTGCGCACTGCACACTCTAGTCGAAGAAGCCGCAGTCTCGAGAGCGCCCAGGAGGTGTTTCTGTAGACTCTGGCCAGCCTCTCCTGCGGACCCGGTGTCGTTGGGCTACACCCCGGTTGGGGACGTCTCCCGGGCACGGGAGTGGGCCACGATGCCGGTGAGGAGAGCCACTCAGCCGCTAGGGTTCTTAATCCCAGCGGCCTGGCTCGGGGGCGCGGCCGTTGCCATAGAAGCGCGGAGCAGGCGGGAGGCCCCCGTGGGTCTCGGCCGTTAAGGGAACTGGCAGGTGGGCCCAGGGCCCGTGGGGGTCCAGCCCTCTTGTGGAAGCACTCGGGAGCAGGCCCTGTTGCCTTTGTCCCTGCTGCATCCCATGGGGCCTGCGCTGTTTGACATAAAGGCACTGTGCCAGAGGATGCGTCCTGGCTCCCAGCCCGGCCGGCTGGGTAGGGCGTCTGGGGGCGGCCACCGAGGGTCGTTCGTACGCTCCGCGCCAGGTGGGGTCTGGCAGCGGAGACACGCCCCGGAAAGTGGCCGGGCGAAGGTTGCCAGTCCCTGTTTTAGGGCCCTGACTTGCGTTTTCCTAGGTTTGAGCTGTCATTCCTCTTGTGGCGCTGTAGTTACCGTGCAGAATGTAACCTGTAGGTGTCTTTGTGTGTGTATGTGGTGGATATACATAGTTACCGTTCTCTTAATAAGGTTTTTTTTTTTTTAAGTCCAATAAAGGGTCATGGAGAAAACTTGAGCCTTGGAGAATTATTTATTGGTTATGCGGCCTCGGATAATTATTTAATCTGTCTGGGTTCTTAGTTCCTGCATAATGAAACTTTTCTTCGTGGGGTTTCTATTAGGGCGAAATAAGATAATACACAGGAGACGAAGAACAGTTTTGACATTTAGCATTCATTACTCTATATCTTTTTTTATTGTTTTCAAGTTATTAATTCAGTCAGTGTTGGGCATCAACCACATGTTAAGCACTGAAGATACAGTATTGAGCAAAACCAGATGCATTTTTGAATTTGGAAAAAAAAAGACTTGCTTTCTTAGGTAGAGGAGAAAATCATACACATTTACAGAGATAATACACATTCTTAAAGCATGAAGTGAGTGGGTGGCATAAAGTAGAAACTAGTGTATACTAGTGATTGGAAAGTGTTACCATGTAGGAATGCTAACCTACATTGATATCAAATCGTGTATTTTTTTATTAGAGAAGGATCAACTGTTTTTTAAGAGACTTTAGAAATTGTGTGCTTGTGAAATTTTACCAACTAATATTTTAAAGTACCTTGAGATAAAAGATATTTATGGGCTGAATTCAGTCCCTTGACTATTCATTTGCATTTCTGATGTAGACAGAGGGAAAGACATTAATCAAATAAGGAAGAGAGTAAAATTTTGTCCTTGGAAAAGAGAGCAGGGTGCTCTGAGAGCCTATAAAAGCATTTGACCTAATTAAAGAAGTGTTTCCAGATTAAGTGGCTATTGAGTTGCGTTCTGAAAGATAAGTAAATGTTATCTAAATGAAGAGGGGGGTAAGGAATGTTCTAGGCAGAAGGAATACCACAAGGAAAAGCCAGTGGTAAAAGAGAATCATGGTGATTAGAAAAGACCATAAAACCCAGGGTAGTTGAGAGCAGGTGAAGTATCTTGTGAAATAAGCCTGGAGAAGAAGTAGACATGGGCAACAGCCAGATCTTACAGACCACCTTAAAAATTTTTATCCTAAGATATATGAGAAACGATTGAATTTAAAGTAGAGGAGTCAACATGATTAGATCTGTGTTGATACTTACTGCCAGGAGTACAGACTGTAGGACAATCTAATTCGACATCCTACAGGAGTAAAGGGCCTAGATGATGGGGTCCTAGATTGTGGTAATCAAGGTAGAGATGGAGAGAAATGTGTTGTATTGGTATTATCTGTTGACTTGTCAATGACAATTTCAAAGTCAATGGCTTACATGTTTCTTTTAATGTTTATAAGAGTATCAAAAACAGGAATTCGATAAGTATATGTTCAATGGAAATATTAAGCTTAATTTCAGTAATAGAATTGTATTTTGATTTATAAAATTTCAAAAATTGAAACTTTGTATATACAAGTTTCTTGAGTTTAGGTCATTCTAAGACATGTTTCTCTGTCTGCTGTTGTACTTTTTTTTTTTCACTCTTAACGTCCTGTTGTCTTATATAGAGAAGATAAGCCATGCATGGAGCTATATTTTAAAAATAATTTTACTAATATGTTATAGAAAATAAAACTAGATGTGTCAGGGGAACTAAGGACTGACTATATTCTTTTTTTAAAATATTTTTTTAGTTGTAGATGGACACAATATCTTTATTTTATTTATTAATTTTTATGTGATGCTGAGGATGGAACCCAGTGCCTCATGCGAATGAGGCAAGTGCTCTACCACTAAGCCACAACCCCAGGCCTGCCCCCCTCCCCACTATATTCTTGAATTAAATTTATTAACCATGCTCATGCTCCTTGTGTTTTCTTATAAGCAGAAACTCAGAATGTCAGGGACTTTTTTGTTGTTGTTGTTCTTACTGGGGATTGAACTCAGGGGCACTCAACCACTGAGCCACATCCCCAGCCCTGTTTTGTATTTTATTTAGAGACAGCGTCGCTCTGAATTGCTTAGTGCCTCACAATTGCTGAGGCTGGCTTTGAATTTAAGATTCTCCTGTCTCGGCCTCCCAAGCTTCTGGGATTATAGGCAAGTGCCGCTGCTCCCGGCTGTCAGGGACTTTGTGCAGAAAGACAATCAATAATATACTAGTTCATTTTCTGCACTTACTATAGAAGTAAATTTCTATCCCCTCTTTTGCATTGTAAAGAAAATATTTTTTAATTTATTTATTTTGGTACTGAGTATTAAAGCTAGAGGCACGTTATAACTGAGCAATGTCCCCAGCCCTTTTTATTTTTTATTTAGAGTAGGTCTCACTAAGTTGCTTAGGGCCCCCATAAATTGCAGAGGTGTGTCTTGGAATTGCAATCCTCTTGCCTCAGCCTCCCAAGTTGCTTGGATTGCAGGTGTTTAATATCTTAATATTTTTAAGATATTAAACCACCAGGCCTAGTTTAATATCTTAAAAAAATTTTTTTAAATAGTAAAGATGGACACAATACCTTTATTTTATTTTTACATTGTACTGAGGATCAAACCCAGTGTTTCACACATGCTAGGCAAGCACTCTACCAACAGCCAGCCCCATAGCTTAATATATTTTTTGAAGTCTTTTTTTAGTTGTGGATGCACACAATGATTTTATTTTTACATGGTGCTGAGGATTGAACCCAGTGCCTCATGAGTGCCAGGGAAATGTTCTAACACTGAGCTACAATCCCAGCCCCACTTAATATCTTAAAAAAAAAAAATATATATATATATATATTTTTTTTTTTGGACACAATACCTTTATTTTATTTATTTATTGTTTTAATGTGGTTCTGAGGATTGAACCCAGGGCACTGCTTGTGTCACTGAGCCACAACCCCAGCCCCTTAATATCTTTTTAATAAGCTTTTGCTGTATATATATGAGATCTTTAATTGCATTTAATGAAGACTTATGAAGTCCTAACATATGCAGAACACTGAGATGGCAACACAGTCCTTTTTAAATTATAAATTTAATAGGTTGATGGCAAAAGCAAATGTTTTTTCATTATGTGTAAATATTGTCTCCACAGATCAATAAATCAGAGAAGCCGGAAAGCTGCGATAATGTGAAGGTTGTTGTTAGGTGCCGTCCCCTCAATGAGAGAGAAAAATCCATGTGTTACAAACAGGCTGTCAGTGTGGATGAAATGAGGGGAACTATCACTGTACATAAGACTGATTCTTCCAATGAACCTCCAAAAACATTTACTTTTGATACTGTTTTTGGACCAGAGAGTAAACAACTTGATGTTTATAACTTAACTGCAAGACCTATTATTGATTCTGTTCTTGAAGGCTACAATGGTAAGTGAATATATAGTTTATTTTTAAAAAACTTTATTAAGGCATAATTAATGTCCCATAAAGTTATCTCTTGTAATAGTACAGTTAGATGAGTTGTAGTAAATATATACAGTTGTGAAACCATCACTATAATACAATTTTAGAGCACTTCCACCAAAATTATTTTGTGCCATTTTGCAGTTCCACCCCCAGGCAACCATTGGTCTGCTTCTGTCACTACAATCTTTACCTTTTCTCAAAATTTCACATAAATGAAATGTCTTCTTTTTAATTTTTTTTCTTTTACTTGGCATAATGTTTTGAAGTTCACCCATGTTTTGCATATACCAGTAGTTTGTAGCCTTTTATTACTGAATTGCCTTCCAGTGTATGAATACAACAATTTTGTTTATGCATCTAGATGTTTGGCTATGATAAATAACACAGCTATGAACATTCATTTATACATCTATGCACAAACATATTTCAAAGTTTCTCTAACAGTTTTCAAAATTCTCCCATGTCATAAGAATGTATCAGTATTTTATTCCTTTTTATGGCCAAATATTCTCATATGTTATATAGATATAACATTTTGTTAATCCATTCTTTTGGATTAACATTTGGATTGTTTGTACTTTTTTAGCTATTATGAATAATGTTGCTTTGAACATTCTAATGCAACTTTTGGTGTGAATATATGCTTTTAATTCTCTTGAATGTATAGGGAGGAGTGAAATTACTGAGTCATGTGTCAACTCTGTTTAACATTTTGAGTAACTGTCATTTTCCAGAGTGGCTGCATCATTTTATATTCCCACCAACAATGTGTGAGGTTTTCAACTGCTCCCCATCCTTGTCAACAATTTTACTTGTCTTTTTGATAGTGTCATTCCAAGGGGTATAAGGTGGTATTTCATTATGATTTGCAATAGATTTTTTTAATATTGACCTTGTATCTTGCAACCTTGCTAAAATTGCTCTTTAATTCTGGTAGATTTTTTGTTTTGCTTTTTTCTTTTTGCAGTGCTGGTGATGGTACCTTGCACATACTAGGCAAGTGCTCTACCACTGGGCTACACTACTAGCCACTATATTTTGTTGCTGCTTTTTTTTTTTAATTCTGTAGGATTTTTTTGCATATAATATTATATTGTCTACAAATAAAGGTGTTTTTTTATTTCTTTACAATCTTTATGACTTTAATTTCTTTTTATTGCTTGATTACACTGACTGGAACTTCCACTGAATAGAAATGGTGAGAGTAGACATTTTGTTTAGTTGATGATCTTAAGGAAAATGCATTCTTCTTTGTTTTTTTTTTTGTTGTTGTTGTTCTTTTTAGGTATACATGATGAGTGTTTTTTTTACATAATACATGGAGTGTAGCATATTCTAATTAGGATCCCATTCTTGTGGTTGTACATGATGTGGAGTTTACTAGTTAGGTATTCATATAACATTTATTTTTTCATTAATAAATGTGATATTACATATAGATTTTTAAAATAAATATCCTTTATCAGATTGAGGTAGGTCTCCCTTGTTCTTAGTTTGCTGATTTTTTTTAAAGGAAAGTATATTGAATATTTTCAAATGTGGAAACTTTAAAAAGTTTTCCAGTACTGAGTATTGAACTCAGGAATGCTCTACTACTGAGCTAATAACCCCAGCCCTTTTTATATTTTTAAATATTTATTTAAATACTGGGGATTGAGCCCAGGGGCACTTTACCATGGAGCCTCATCCTCTGCCTCTGTCCTCCACCCTCTTTTTTGAAACAGGTCTAAGTTGCCAAGACTGGTCTTGAATTTAGTAGTCCTCCTGTCTTAGCTTCTTGAACAGCTGGGATTACAAATGTGCACCACTATATCCTACTCTGTGCAACTAATGAAATAATGTTTTTTTCTGTGTGTTGATGTGGTCAATTACATTACTAGTTTTTCAGTGTGAAACCAGCTTTGCCACTTGGTCAAGAAGTATTACCCTTTTCAAATATTGTTAGATTTTGTTTGCCAAAATTTTGTTTAAAATGTTTGTATATGTGTTCATGAGGCATATAAGAATGTTGTTTTCTTGTAATGTCTTTATCTGGTTTAAATATCAGAACAATTCTAGTTTTATAGAATGAGGTAGGAAGTATTCCCTTCTTTTCAAATTTTATAAGAATTTGTCTAGAATTAGTATTATTTCTACTTTAAATATTCGATAGAATCCATCAGTGAAGCCATCTGGTCTTAAGAGTTTTCTTGTGGGAAGATTTTTAAGTTTTGCCACAGATCAAGTGTCTGTAATAGATATAGGGCTTTTCTGGTTGTGCATTTTTTTATTGAGTTTTAGTGGTTTGTCTTTCATGGAATTCCTCCGTTTCATTGAAGTCAATTTATTGGCAAGAAATTGTTCGTATTATTCTTTTATTATTCTTAGTATGTTAAAATATAGTGATATAACCTTTCTTATTCATGATATTGGTATATTTGTAATTTGTATCTCCTCTCTCTCTCTCTTTTTTTTTTTAACCAATTACACTGATAAGAGCTATATCAATTTGATTATCTTCTGAGAGAAACTGCTTTTGGTTTAATTTTTTCTGTTCTCTTTCTTTCTTTTTGGTTGGCAGAGGTGGCGGGTGATACTGGTAATTGAACCACCCAATGTCTCCTCCAGTCCTCTTTTAAAAATTTTAAGATAGGTCTTGTCAAATTGCCCAGGCTGTCTTTGAACTTGTGATACTTTTGCATTAGCCTCTAAAGTTGCTGGGATTATCTGTGTACTCCATGGTATCTGGCTTGTATTTACTTCATTGATTTCTGCTCTGATCTTTATTGTTTCTTTTCTCCTACTTACTTTAGGTTTAATTTGCTCTTTATTTTCTACTTTTTTAAGGTGGAAGCTGAGATAATTGAGAACTTTCTTCCTTTCTAATATAGGAGTTCAATGGCATAAATTATTCCCCAAGTTCTGTTTTAGTGGCATCTCACAGATTTTGTCATACTGTGTGTTTAAGTTAGCTATTCTATCACTGTGACCAAAACACCTGACATGAATAACTTAGAGGAGGAAAAGTTTATTTGAGGCTTGGGTGTCAGAGATCTCAGTCCGTTCTGGGCTCAAGTGAGGCAGCATGCCTTGACAGAAGGGCTCAGTAAGCAAAGCTGCTCAGCTGATGGTGGGTCAGGAAACTGAGAGGGGCTCCAGAGAAGATGCACCTTTCAGAACATACCCCAGTGGCTCATCTTCTCTAATCACACCCCACCTGCCTATAGTTACTACCCAATGAGTCCATTCAAACTACCATGAACAGGTCCAGTCATTTCACTTCTGAATATTCATGCATTAATAGGAGCATATCCAAACTATAACTGTTTTCATTTTCATTCTGTTCAAAATACTTTTTTACTTCACCCTGGATTTCCTTTTTTAATCTCTGACTTATTTGGAAATATGTTGCTTAGTTTTTATATTTTTTGAAATTTTCCAGAAAATTTTTTGTTGGTTCTAGTTTAATTTTATTTTAGTCAGAGAACATACTTTGTTTGACTTGAATCTTTTTAAATTTATTGAGACTTGTTTTATGTACTAGAATGTAATTTATTATTATTAGATCTTTGTGTATACTTGAAAATGCATGTATATTTTTCTGTTCTTGGATAGAGAATTCTGTAAATGTCTATTTGGTCAATTTGATAGTGCTATTCAAATCATCTGTGTACTTATCTTTAATCTACTTGGTCTGTCAATTATTGACAGAGAAGTATTGACGTTTCTGAACATATTTTCAGATTAGCCTTTTTCTATTAGTTTTTGTTTCATGTGTTTTGAAATTCCAAGAGTACATGTATAGATGCTTAGGATTTTTAGGTTATCTTGATGAAAAAACCTCGTTATGAAATTATTTCTTCTTCTCTGGTAATATTCTTTGCTCTGGAACCTGCTTTGTGTGATACTAACATAGATACTCCAGCTTTTTTTTTGATTAGTGTTAACATGCATGACTCTTTTCCATTCTTTTAACCTTTATGTGTTTTTATATTGGAAGCCCATTTCTATTAGGTAAGTGCAGTGGAGACCCTCATGATCACCCTAGACTCAGTGATTGTTCAGAGGACTCACAAGACGATCATATAGTTTTACTTATAAAAAGAAAAAAAAGATTAGAAAAGGTAAAATGTGCTTGGAGCAAAGTTTCCAGGAAACTAGATGCAATTTTTTTAGAGTTCTTTCCTGTTGGTCATCCCGGATATACAGTGTGCTTAATTTTTTTGGCTTTCAGTATGAAAATACATATAAAGTATTATCTATCTGAGGAAGCTCATTAGAGACTCAGCGCTGGTCACATAGGAACCGTGAGCCCAGAACATGTCAGCATCCCAGACTTTTAGCAGGAAAGCTGAGATAGGGTCTTAGTGAGACCCTATCTCAAAAAATAAATATATAAATGACATTGTTTTGTATAAACTATTTAGGCAAGATGAGGCACTCTTTTCAGCTAGGGAATGATGGAAACCCCTTAACTTCAAATTCCCAAGGGCCAGTCTTACAAGCAGGGCTTTCAAACAACAGCAGCCTCAGGTTGGCTTTGTTCTTTTCTGCACAACAGCATATAGTTAGTCTTGCTTTTTAAATTCAGTTTTGCTGTCTTTTTTTTGTGTGTGTGTGGTGCTGGAGATCAAACCCAAGGCCCTCACGCATGCTAGGCAGATACTCTGCCACTGAAGTACACTCCAGATCTATCATCTCTTTTTTGTGTTTGTTTTGTTTTATTATATTTTTTGCTTTTTATTTGGGGTATTGTGGTTTTTTTTTTTTTTAAAGAGAGAGTGAGAGAGGAGAGAGAGAGAGAATTTTTAATATTTATTTTCTAGTTCTCGGCGGACACAACATCTTTGTTGGTATGTGGTGCTGGGGATCGAACCCGGGCCGCACGCATGCCAGGCGAGCGCGCTACCGCTTGAGCCACATCCCCAGCCCCGGGTATTGTGGTTTTTAAGAGTATTTACATTTAGTGGAATTATGTGTTT